CAAAGGCAGAAAAGAAAAGAGACAAACCAAGAAACAGATTTTTAATTAAAAAGAACTGTGGTTATGTGATTACTAGAGGGGAGGGGGTGGGGGGATGGGTGAAATAGGTGATGGGGATTAAGGGGTGCACTTGCCATGATGAGCACCAGATGACATATGAAGTATACAATCACTATAATGGACACTTGAAACCAATATTATACTGTAAGTTTGCTGGAATTTTAATAAAAACTTAAAAAAGCTTTGTTTAACCACATAGTAAATTTGTGATTAACTGTACCTTTTTCTTTTCTTTTTTAAAGATTTCATTTATTTATTCATGAGAGACACAGAAAGAGAGAGGCAGAAACACAGGCAGAGGGAGAAGCAGGCTCCATGCAGGGAGCCTGATGTGGGACTCGATTCCAGGTCTCCAGGATCATGCCCTGGGCTGAAGGGGGCGCTAAACTGCTGAGCCACCCGGGCTGCCCAATTGTACCTTTTTCAATGCAGACAACTGTGTCAACAAATATAAGACTACTTTATATACACATTTCCTAGTATCAAATACTTGACTGTAGATGGAAATCCATTTAAGTATACTGATCCTAGAATAAATTAAGCTTCAAAATAAGACATCTAAAAACACAAAAATAGAAGTCAGAGTTTTATACTTGCTGGAAACCACAATTTTGGGATTTTAGTCAAACGCTTGCCTAAAGTTAGTTACATCAAAATCTTCATACTCAACAAAGATATGGACTCAAACATTAAGATACACCAAAACACACTTGCTATTCCAGTGACAAGTAAACTTGCGAGAACAAAATGCACTTGCAAGACATGACATTCATCAAGGAAATGCTTTATAGAGCCTGAAAATATATAAACGAGACATTACTTTCATGAAAATATAATTTGTTGAACAGCAATAATTGGCATTCAAGTGAAAAAGCAGCACAGAAAGGACGACTTACAGAATACTAACACTCAGATCACAAGATGAAAAAAAGCTTCATCCCGGAAAAGGAAAAACTGCTATTTCTAGTTAAGTATTCAACCACCAAAATTAACATCTACCAAAACTAAACAGTAACTAAACCATCATTGTGAAATCATGACTTGGAGCTTTAATTTTTACTCATTCTCTGGGCATGTCTAGAAACCTGCTATCTCAATATTCTGTTTTTCTCACACTCTCTGGAACTCTCTAGAAGATGCTACTGTGTGTTTAGCACAGCACTGTAAGAGAATATGTCCAGTCGCAACTGTGTGCTCACTCTTCATCGGGCCAGCTGAAGATGCAGTTTTAAACCAACAGAATCAGAACTGGGTAGGCTGAATTTTATAAACTATTTGCTGTACTGAATAAAAGAGCACTAATGAATCTAGTATCCACTACAGCAGTCAGCTTGAGCAGCTCATGACTCAGAGATGCCAAGTGGCCATGCCCGTGCCCCAGAGTGAAGTCAGACTTCAAGAGACCTAGGTTTAAATTGTGCATCTTGCTCTTAACTGTATGACCAAGAGAAAAGTAATGAATCTAAACCAGAGTTTACCCATCTTCAAAATGGAAGTAGTATTATGTCTGTTACAATATTACAGTAAAAAAAAAAAAAGGAGGTAACATACTTAAAAACAACTGGCTTGAGTGCCATGTGCTCAAATCCTGGTTTTGAACTTTGACAAAAGTGTATACACCCAATTTCATATCATCTTTGAGAAAAATATATATAAATACATATGTTATATATATATATAATGTATATATAATGTAGAGACAGATACACTGGATCTCAGTATTCATCTATTAGAAGTAAAGTAGTATGGTAGGAGAAAAGAGTCACCTATCCCATAATTTTTCAATTCTATGGGGAAAAAATGCAGCTGTACCCTTTAACATATGACTCTATTCAATTAAATTCACTGTTAGAGAGGAGATAAAAAAACAAAAAACAAAAAAAAACCCCGAGACATATCCTCTCACCTTCAATGAATCAATCTAAAAGAGGTTCACACCAAGTTATGGGCAATGCTGAAATCCAATGTCTTTCAATAGAAAATTCAGTAATTGTTTTCATATATAAACTTGGTGGTAAACATCAGACCTAAAGTTGGACTAGAAGGCTCCATAGTCTTTATGATTTCTTTTAAAGATTTTATTTATTCATGACAGACACAGAGAGAGAGAGAGAGAGAGGCAGAGACACAGGCAGAGGGAGAAGCGGGCTCCATGCAGGGAGCCCAATGTGGGACCCGATCCCGGGTCTCCAGGATCACACCCCAGGCTGAAGGCAGCGCTAAACTGCTGGGCCACCGGGGCTGCCCAATAGTCTTTATTCTTATACTGAATGTAACCATTCATGCTTTATCATTTTCATTATGTTGCAAGGTCCTTAATCCCACTAGTGAGTGACTTAATACATTATCTACTGCATTAACTTCTGAAGATATAAATACTCCAAATTTGAAAACACATGTAGTTCAAGGATATCAGAGAAGGCAATGTGAACAATCTCTGCTTAAGGAAAAAAGATAATAGCTGTAAAAAGAGGTAAACTTCCAAAGACAGAAACTTGTAGTTAAGAATGTATTTTCTATCCTTCTTAAATCAATAATTGCTTAGAACCCTTGATTATCCTATAACATGGACACGGTGACATGACCTACATCCTTAAGTAGTTGGAAAAACACAAGATGACACACATAAAATGCTTTAAACTTTGTCTTACACAAACTGAGTACCCAATAAAATACTGTGTTGTAGTAGTGCCTAGAAAGATACTTTGAACATTCACTAGAGACAGGCAAATAGGTGAATTTGTAACTCGGATCATCTGCTATATATCTTATTTTATTTTGCAATTTTATTTTTTAAAAATCCAAGGGTATTCATTTGCCTATGCCCAGCATTATTTCTCCTATCAGGCCTCAGAGAGAGTATTAGTGCAAATCGTAAGGGCAGGTAGCAATCCCAGGTAAGCAAAAAGCATCTGGGCTGATGAACACAGTAAGAGCTCTTAATGCAATAAAAATATTATCTAAAAAGAAATGACCTACTAAGACTCAAAAACAGCCTACAGGGGTGCTCCCATAATTTAACATACAAACCAATTAGCCAGAGTTTTTGCTAAAAATGCATATTCTGATTTAATGTGGCGGGTGGGGGGCACACATCCTGCATTCAGGTTCTCAGGTAATCACAATGCTGCTGATCTGGAGGCCCCACTCCAAAAGAGGAGAAGCCAGAGAGGAGTGGCCCTCAAAGTTTATGAGCAACATCACAATCTCCTAGGAAGTTACTAGAAATGCAAACCTTAACAGCATAAGGAAATTTTTTGAGATTATTGATTAGCTGTTTACATGCAGGCAGATTACTTTCCCTGAGAATAAAATAACATTTTGTAAGTAAATTAAAAATAAAAATACCACACTAAAACATGTTACAGAAGAAAACAACAGTCTCTCTCTGTATACAATTTTCAAAACTGTACTCACTATAGTAACACTTCAAATGTAGGCTTTTGCATTATAAGAAGCCTGCTCTGATACACTGTAGGCAAATATAATGTGTACAGTCTTCAGAAGGACCACTTACCAACTACTCACAGGTTAAGTCAGGTCCACTGTACCTACCTAACAAAGGTATGTGTGTGTCAGGAAATCAGACTAGTTTTCTATTTCCTCGTACTGAGAACATAACCAACCACATTATGGTTTAGTCAACTGCTCCACAGTAATGTTTACACAATGCCTGGCTGATGTGTAAATACATGTCGACATTTTGATTTATAGCTAGAGACGATCTGTTTATGTACACAGATACACAGACCTATAAATTATGGTACATTAATGGTTTGCAATGCAATATTCTTGGGTGCAAAAACCTTGAGGGCTAACTACAAGTATACAATGTCATGACCAGAGAGAAGATTTCAGTTTTGTCAATGCGAAGGCAATTGATTATTCAAAATATGAGGGAAAACCTATCTAACAAACTTAGGCATTCAGAGTTGAGATTAGCATTTTCTTCAACTCCTGATTCTGAATTACAACTTCACCTCTCTGTCAAAACCTAAGCACACAGATCTATTCTTCATCAATTTCGAAGGTGTCAGTAACAGATGGTGAAGCCCCACACTTGCTTCAGGATCGGCACTGTCATTTTTGCCAGAACCACAAGTTTTAACAGTGTTTCTGTGGGACACATCTTTGATGTAGCATCAGGAGGAAGGGAGGGAGGAAGGAATGCAGAGTGCTCCTGGCATCTAGAGCAAAGCATGCTGCTCAACAATCTGCAGTGGTCAAAACAATCTTGAAAATGAAGAATTACCTGGACTAAGAAGATACCCAGGCTGCTGAGATTCAGAAACCCTGAATGAAATGACGGAGGCTGTAAAGATAGGGAATCAATGTCCCTGTGTGTCATCATTACATTCCTAGTACAGTGTTCAGCACAACAACAAATATTTGTTGATTATTAAATAAACTACCTCTATGTAGCTGTGAGGCCTAGAGATGAAAAACAACGATAAAGGGATTATTACACATGTTGTATCTAAATTACAAAACAAAACTGCAATCATTGTCAAAACTGAAAAGGAATTTAACAAATCGTTTAGTCAGATTTCTATACTTTGGAGGAAATATCTCAATATGAAAGATGCTATATAATGGACTGATATGGCAGTGTTATGGGGGTGGGGGGAGCAGGCCTCTGAGTAAAAATAAATATCTAAAATTTATTAAAGTCAGTTTTTACTTCTAAATAGTGTTAAGGTCCTATATTTTTCTTAAATTAAGTATTTCCTTTATAAAAATTAAAACCAACATGACATAACTAGTAAGTGATATTTCACAAGCAGGAAATGTAATTATTTTCCAAAAAACAAATCAGAGACCTCTGTGGCCTACAGGCATTTATGCTTCTGAGAATTCTGGGATTTAAAATGTCATGAGAAATTCTAAACTGGCTTACATTTTTGAAACACAGGAACTGACAGTCACAAGGCCAAACATACCCTTAATAATCGATTCAGCTGCATACAGATCTCGTTTGTAGGTCACCTAAAGGACAAACAAACCTCATTAGACTTAACAGAGCAGGAAGGAATGTGAGAGCAATAAAATTATGCCCCAACGGAAACAATTTATTTTGGAAAAACTGTAAACACGTAGTACTGACAATTTCTAAATTATAACAACAATACTAAGTTCAGAAAAATATATTCTGTTTCTGCAAATTGCTGAATACTGGTTTTTGGATCTTTAAATTGAGGTCTTATGTGGCAGTGGTTATCAAAATCTTATTAATATGAGTAAACTATTATTTCAAAGATGACGTGGTAATGTTCAAAAAGAAAGTACTAGCACTACTAGTTATCAATGCTTAATAGTAGTTTTATGTCATAAGGAAGGAAGGAGTATGTGTAACAAAAATCACTAAAACATATTTTTAGTTGAAATGAGGGAATTCTCAAGGATTAATTCACATCAAGGGAGACTTCCTTCTGAACTGAAGGAAGCAGATAATCTTTATGTAGATAAAGCTCACCTTTTAAGTTTTTTATTAATATGTGGATCTGACAGAGACGATGGTAGCTTTGTGTACGTAAGAACAAACATTAGCTTCCCTGACGAACGCACATCCTCCTTCTAACTGTAACCTGCCATAATCCTAGCGCAGAGATTTCCCAGAACATATCCTATGAGCTCAAGCACAGAATATGTCAGATGTGTGGCAGCGCAGAACGAGTTATGTCAGAACTGAAAAACCTAGAAGATAATGCACTATATTAATAAGTACTATAAGCTTAGGAGTTTGTTCATCATCAAAGTGCTGAGATGATTATGTGGAAGAGTACTTACCAAGGGAGTACTTCTCTGTGTCTATAATTCATATTTTTTTCCTTCAGACTATCTCATAACTAGACTTGAACAAAAACTTTGTTCAGCTTAAGTTGCTCAGGGCACTTCTAACCAAAAAGATCCCCCTGCTATGCCTTTATCTTGGCAGGTAAAACCTGCTGCAAAACATTATCCTATAACCCACAATTAAAGTAGTAGCTAACACATAAGATAGAAAATTGGGGTGCCTGGGTGGCTCAGTCAGGTAAGTGTCTGAGTCTTGGTTTCAGCTCAGATCATGATATCAAGGTCATCTCTCTTTCCCACACCCCTCTGCCCCTTCCTCACATGCTCTCTCTCAAATAGATAAACCTTTTAAAAGATGTTAGACAGAAAATCGCTTGAGCCTTTAAGTATTAAGTCAAATATGAAATTATTATATTATTGATAAAACAAGCACATGCAAACCAAAACTAGTACTATAGTTACTAATCCACAATTAGATTCCAGTATCTGGGCAGAAAATAGAAAACAGACATTTAAAGGTCCATGCTACATATTTACCAAATTAAATAATATGCTGATCTCATTCATTCATTCAACAAATATTTATCTGATAACTACTGTGTTCTAGGTCCTGTTCTAAGTTTGGGGAATATAGCTATGAAAAGAATAAGCAAAATTCCTTAACCTGTGAGAACAGTATTTTGACAAATTTTCCTGAAAGAATTCCATTAGGTAAGTTTTTCTTCTGTTTCCTTGAAAACCTAAAGTTAACTAGGTAACTGAAATCAGGCTTCAGTATTTGTAATTCAAATGAGAAAATAGTGTTTTTCTTTAATGATTTTCTGCTGTGTAGGGTAAACTCAGAACTGAAATAGGAAGAGATCTAATTACCATTATTCATTTATATTCCTTCTGGCTTTAAGGAGTAAAACCACATTCAAAATTAAAATACAGGAACTGTGAAAGTATCTTATGCTCCCCCCCCGCCCCCCAGAGATCTTAATGATGAATTTAAGTTAAAAAATTGGTCTCGAATCCTAAAATCTCTTTTCCAGCATTCTTGAAAGACTTACCAGTTTTTTTTAAGACTTACCAGCTTTGCATTGCAATCAATCTTAGTAAGATACATATTTGTATCACCTAACGGCCTTTTCTCTACTGTTATTAAATCATTTACTGAATAAACAAGACAGACTCCTAAATTTCCATTGGTCTACTGTTTCTTGTAGGCTGTGGATACCTACTATACACAGATATAAGCTTTTTTATTGTTTACTAATATCTTCTATATAAAGCCTTATTCACTACTTCAACTCCACCTCTCACAAAACAGATTTAATGAAAATAAAGTACAAAATGTTTCTCACAAACTGGTAAAGTCCTGCATTTAAAAATAGCTGAATTTTTTTTCTAATTGAAACAGTTAACTTCAAAGAGAACAGTACTGGAAAATGTTGCAATTGTAAATTGATGAGTTACACTTTTTCTGTCAAACTTTTACAGGAATATGGGTTGCCCTCTCATTTTTTTTTTAATTTTCAAAAGTTTATTAAATGAGTTTTGAAGTTGATTTCCTTCTGTCTGCATGATCTGTAGCTTTCTTTTGACCTTGCACAATACATTATGAAAATTAGTTACTTTAAAAGAAAAAAAATATCAACCCTTTAGTGATGGAATGGAGCCCTCAATCCTCTGATTCACTCATTTTCATGCTGCTTGCTCAGTAGAGACTCAGAAGCCACCTAAAGACCAGGGCTCAGGGGCTCAGGGCCTCATGTCCTCACCTAGTCAAGCTCAATTTTTGTCTCTTTTCTTTGTGCTTCTGTGCAATATTTCATCTGAGTCAGGTATGTAACGAAAAGAGAAAAAATATTCAATAGAAGAGAAACCTAAAACTCAGAGCCAGAGCAACAGCCTTCTGACACGGAGCCCAGGCTTATCCTCAGCTACCTCAAGGTGGATTCTACAGGACACTAATCGCACCTACTTGTGTCACTCTGTGTTGACACTCAATAGAGTAAATTAGACTTTTCAGAGTCTAGTTCAGTTGGCCACCATCTTAATGTGAATCAGAACACTTAATCCCCTCTTTCATATCTTTTAACTCATAAGAAAATGAGTATGTAGCTCCAATAATCAGAAGTCAGAGAATTCTAAATTTTTAAAAATACATTATAAGACACAAATTCAGATTTAGTGATTTATTTTTTTCCATTTCATCAATTAGGTCTATCCCGAAAATATTTCTTTCTTTAGACTAGATGACTAAATGAAAATCTCTAAAAAGAAAATGGTCACCACTTTTTTGAGATTAAAAAGAAGTGAGACTATTTTGTTCTAAAAAAAAAAAAAAAAACAAAAAAACAGTACCTCTCATCAAAAGAATTCCTGAAAAGTCAGTTATTTCAATAATATGTGATGACTCAAACACTTCAGAAACTCCTCCTAACAAGTATTTTCAGACAATGGAACACAGTTAAATTTCTTCAATACCTGGTTATAAATCTTTTATGCTTTAAGGAGAGTGGTAACATTTAGAAACAAAAAGCCTGTTCAATTAGTTCTATATAGTAAGTGAGCAAGTATTTAAGTATATCGGGACAAATATATGGTACAATTATCAATTAAAGGAATGGAAGTTTTTATGTCCACTAGATGAAATTTTGTCAAGTAACAGTGTGCTCACTAAGGCCTGGCAAGGCACCACCACTCAGGGAAAGCATGAGAGCCAATTCCTATCCCAGAGATCAATCCTGTTTGCCTCTGTGATTGGTTCGTCTTTATCATGGGGAGTGGGGAATGTCCTCTACCCTACATGGTGATTTAGAGCAATTAATGTTTCCTCCAGGCCCCAAAGGAGACACTGCAAGAGGGGTGATATAACTCTGAACATTTACTTCTACAAAAAAGTATGTAAAATACAAAATAACTCTCCTGGGATTTCTGGTGGCAGTTCAAATAGTCCTACATGCAAGGCCTGAGACATTTCTAGGCATTGCTCACACCACTGCCCAGGTGAACTCCCTGATTTCTGAGGGGTAGGGGAAGGTATTCTGGATTTGTGTTTTAGAATCCTCCTTTGCTTACTTTATACAAAGTATAAAGTAGTAAAATGCTGCCTGAAATGCATTTTTCACCATTTCAGGATTTATCAATCATATGCCAGCCACCTGAGTTCAGTATCAGTTTCAGCCTCATTGTACTAAACCTTTTTTTCTGATTCAAATTTTTTTTTTTTTATTTTTATTTTATGATAGTCACAGAAAGAGAGAGAGAGGCAGAGACACAGGCAGAGGGAGAAGCAGGCTCCATGCACCGGGAGCCCGATATGGGATTCGATCCCGGGTCTCCAGGATCGCGCCCTGGGCCAAAGGCAGGCGCCAAACCGCTGCGCCACCCAGGGATCCCCCTGATTCAAATTTTTAAAAACGGTAGCACTTTTGGTTTTAGTATAGAATTAGAACACTAATTTTTAGTGTAGATTCCATTGCTTTGGTTTCAACAGAAAATGAAAAACTCTTTTATCCATACAAAATGTCAAGATCACAAAATTAAATGAGAAGCCTATACTGAAGACAATTCAATGTCATGAAGAAGCTCAAGAGGACTAGAGCAATAGCTAGGAAAGCATCAGAAGAAAATAAAAGGGTGATAGGAACAGACAATGACGAGACAGGATGCAGGAAGAGTAAACAGGAACCCTGAAACTGCCATACTTGCATCAAAATAATTTCACTTCAATTATCAGAAGAACTACTTAAAAAGACCTCTTAACTGCCATTTGAAGGACTTTTTGCCCAATCCATTGCATTACATGCCCTTTTGGAATCCAAGATCCCATTATTCAAACATTGTAAAGAATGGGGCTCTTCCAACCCTCATCCCTCCCAGTTTGGAAAGCAATACTAGAATGATGATCCCTCAGGGCCTACGTGTGTGGAATGTTTATTAACGTCCTAGGGTTCCTGTAACAAAGAACCACAAATTGGGTGGCTTCACATTTACTCTCTCACACTACTGGAGGCTAAAATCTCAAATCCAGGTGTCAGCAGGACCATGTGGTATCTGAAGACTATCTATAAAAGAACACTTCCTGGCCTCTTCCTACTTTTCTGTGCTTGCCAGCCATCCTTGGCTTTCCTTTGCTTGTAGACGCAACACCATAGTCCCTGCCTCCATCCTCCCTGGCATTCTCCCTTCATCTCTCTCCCTCCTGCTATTCTTCTATGTTGAGTTCAGGGCCTATGCTATGCCAGTATGACCTCAACTGAACTTGACCAGACATGTAAAGACACTTCAAATAATGCCTCATTCCCAAGGGCCAGAGTTAGAACTCAAACAAACCTTGATAGGAGGTACAATTCAAACCACAAGGGCATTATAAAATGATTCACCAGGGAAATGAGGAGAAGCACCGGGAAACCAATCCCTGTTTAGTGCACGGACACTTGGTGCCCATGAAAGAGAAGCAGAACACCGGGATGTGAGAACTAATATCGTGTTGTTTGAGAAAGCAGTAAAATAGGAGATTTCACTAAAGAAAATCTAGAACAAAATCTAAATAAATTTGTGAGGAACAAATGGAAAATTTCAAGAGTAGTGTGTTACTTTCCTCTTATCTACAGGTCTCAGGGTGCTTGATAATTTTCAAAAAGGCTCTGAACACCCACAGACATAAATCACCACACACCCTAAGACAACAAAATGAGGCCAGAGTGTTAAATGAATGTGTTAAGAACAATAAAACTTGTGAGTTTCCACTTAGTTCTCCTCTTTCCTGAAAATCGTCTACCCCACAGTCAAAAGGGGTTGTACAGAGATGTGAGTCAGGATCTGTAACAAAACACCTAGCTGGTGAACACTATAGTCCTCACAATGTGTTTAATATCCTCTGAGCCATAGATAGAAAAGGATACACAAAACAAATAAGATGTTTTCCCTGCTGGGTTGAAGACATTTGGAAATCCTTAAAAGAACAATAATACTACATGAATTTTCTTTACCAGGCAATAGTCCAGACATACCAATATTTGGTAATTTCAGAACATTTTAAGTCTGTTTGAGACGATCTGAGCATGCAGCAAGGAGCATGAGGTTACTGTACAAAATACCTAATGAACTTATAGGGCTTTCTGTTTTGTTTTTAAGTCAATGAGAAAATAGGAGGACTCTTTCCTTAACAGATTTACATGGCTGCTTTCTAAAGATTTCATCCCTTATTCAAAAGCAGCAATACTTCAAAAAATAAAACCACCCTACCCTATTTCAGAATCTACTTTTCAGTTCAATACATTTCTACCTTCAAAACAGAGGAAGGCCACACTGTGAAACACTCCAGTTTCCATGGGAAGCTTTACTAGGGTAGTGCTACAATCACTTTCACTCCCTCAAAAACAAAGTTTGTCATTAGGAGTCAACCTTACTATATTCAAGAGTCCAACTCCTCATTGGGGCCACTAAGTGGGTCCAGTCATCCACCCCACTGAGTCAGAACTATGGCAGATTTTCCTTAACCCAGTTAAGTTGGAGTTGCCACCCCCAAGGCCTAGAACAAAATGTTGCTACTGTGGAAAGGTGAGTTACATCCTCAATCCAATTAAGTTTAAGGCAACAGAATATAAGAATAGAGAGAGAGAGAGAGAAGAAAAAAAATGAGTAAAACCATCTTATCAGCTAAAATGGAATTTGAATAAATTATCTAAAAGTGAATTTTCTGGAAACCAAGACATAGAAACCATACATACTGTGATGCTCAGAAACCCCAGTGAAACTCTTAATGCCTGTAAGGTATACATACATACATACCCTTATTCCTCAAAATACTGTTTCACTCTGAAACCAACCAGTTTTATACTACTCCATTTTCTAAAGCACCTGGGAAGTGTTTAGACTCGTAGAATGTACCTTAGGAATGACTTATAAGCACAGCCAAGATCCAGAACAAAATTCCAACTTCCTTACCTTCCAGAGGTCAGGCGATCCTTCCACAAGTTTGGCATGAACATGACCATACTTCAGAGCCAACTGCAAACACTCAGTTCCAAATTCCAAGTCATAGTCACTACACTGGGCAGAATAAATAAATAAATAAATAAATAAATAAATAAATAAATAAATAAATAAATAAATAAATAAATAAATAAATAAATAAATAAATAAATAGTTTAAATATATTTTTAAGTAAATCACTTTTTAAAAATTTCATAATCAAGCTATAAGGACAACCCCCATGGACATTTATATTAAGATTTTTGCATGCCACAGCTTTGTTTCATTTTATTATTTTACATATCAATGCATGTCTTAAAAATTTATATTTTGATTCTGAACACAAAACATTTCAACATTCCATTATTAGACAAAAACGGAAAGGCTTGAGGCACTTGGGTGACTCAGTCAGTTGAGTGTCTCACTGTTGGTTTCAGCTTAGGTCATGATCTCAGGGTCATGAGATCTAACTCTGCAGTGGGCTCTATGCTCATCAGGGAGTCTGCTTCAGAGTCCCTCTGGCCTTCTCCCTGCTCTTACACATGCATGCACACTCTCTTAAATAAATAAATCTTAAAAGAAAAAAAAATGGGAAGGCCTCTAGTAGATTTAGTTAAGTATAAGCAACATTTTTAAGCATTTTAAGCAAAACCATTAAAATGATCAATGTAATTCAGCTGAACAATACCGTGTGCCTATGATGTCCAAGCCCTGTATTAAGGGCCAGTATTTAAAGATAAAGGAGACATGTATTATGTCCTCAAGAAACTCAAATCTTAGACTGATCTATAACAGACTATGACAGAAGAACACCAGAAGAATATCTACAAGTAGACCAGGAGATAAAATACTTATTTCTGTGTGAAAGCATTAGAAAAGTCCTTTCAGAAGAAATGATCTCTGATTTCATTCTACAGACTGAATAAAATTAGAGAGAGGCAGACCGTTAGGGCAAAAGGTGGCATACAGAGTTTCAGACACCTGACAGATTTGTGTTTTAGACCAAACATACCCAGATAAGAAAGACTGCAGGAAGGCCACAGATATCATCATGGCATTTAGCATAGATTGCCAGTGCTGTTTTGCTGTACTAGAAATTCCAAAATTCTAACTGCAGTGTTTTTGTTAAAGCAATGGACAAGAAAATAGAACCATCAAATGTACATAATCCCAAACTGACTAGAATTGTCTCTCAGCTTAAATCTTCTCTTCTAATATACTATTTAACATCACATATTTCTTAGGCTTTGTAATTTTTTAAAAAGTATTATCAACATTAGTTATATTCAAGTAAGACAAATTTTGTTAAGCCTCTTTTTTTGTACTTCCAACATCTGCATAGACTATTCCAGCAGTACGTAAACTCTATATACAATAAACAGAATGCTTCCTTTAACACGTGGTCAAATCCCAAAGATGACCAGCAATAACTCTCTTGCTCACTCTTTTTAAAGGCAAGATATTTAACACATTTGTGGAAAGCCTTAAAAGTGTTCACAAAGTACATACTGAGAGGAGACCACAGAAACAGGTACTTCCCTGTTAAATGGGGAAAAACCCATTTTAGGGTTTTAGGTGGTGGAAAGAGGTCTTAGGTGGTGGAAAGAGAATTTAGGTCTTAGGTGGTGGAAAGAGAATTACTTGATGCTATACTCCTACCACTCACATGTTGTACCAGCCAAGATGGCAGCAGCCTATAATCTGTAGGAAGTCTATAGGATACCAGTCACTCTTGTATGGGAATGGTAAACAGAAAATTCTGGGTCAAGTATATATGAAACACACATTAGAAAGGGAGGTGAAGGAATCTTGGCAAGAAGAGTTGCATGAATGTGTCATTCGTTATATGAACTACTATTACAACTATTTGTGGGGGTTTTGGTGGTTCAAAAAAGTACATGCTTAATAACCAACTAAATTCTGAATTTCTACATTTCTCAGTAGCACTGATGATTTCTACCTTGTGTAAGATATGCAAAGCTGGAAAAAATGTTCATACCTTAAGAAAAATCATATGAACTACAAAACCCTAACTTCTTCTTGAAGGCATCAGAGCTGAGGTCACAAGATGAACAAACAGCCTTAAATCTAAGAAAAGACATGCCTCACCAAAGGACAGAGAGGATGCCATCACCCATTCACCTATGGTACACAACAAGAAGAGACAGCAGATGCCAGAGAGCAGGAAAGAAGAAACAAACAGATAATTTCAAAATATTGGTAAGTACTGAGTTGGGGGTGATTAGGAGAAGACAGAACCTCTGTGAGTCACATACTCATCATTGCAGGCTCCCCTTCAGCAACCTACTATTACAGGCTCACAAATGGTATATTACTATTTGAAGGTGACTGTGACTACATCTACATTCTAAACTCATGGCCTACACTAAATGTTTTTAAGTTAAAAACAATGGTAAGATAAAATAATTTAAAAATGAGAAATTAATACAAAGGCAGGCAAAAGAAAACAACATATGGAACAAATAAAAAACAACTAGCACAATAGATTTTAAATCAAGAAAGTTAATCAGTGTGTAACTGCTGAAAATTTTTATCTTTATCATCCATCATGGGGATCATAGTGATATCACTGTGTATTACATATACACACTGATGCTAAGAACCCTCTGCCCCCTAAACTTGCAGCCCAAAAGATGTTAAACAATATTCCACACAAGGAGAAGCCCTGAGTATACTGCTGTCAGAGGTCCCCAAATAATGTCCATCTCAGTCATGTTACACTGAAACTCAAAGTCAAAAAGCTCCACCTACAAGTGGAACTACCACCAAGTAGGTAAAACCTACCAAGTCCAGTCTTCAACACATAAACATGAGAAGAAAAGCCAAATTTAACTGAAACCCAAGACTAACGTGAAATTTAAGGTCAAAAAGGTAAAAAATAAAATCTTTTGGAGGAACTCTGCAGTTGAAAAAGAGACCAGGGGATCCCTGGGTGGCTCAGCGGTTTGGCGCCTGCCTTCTGCCCAGGGCCTGATCCTGGGGTCCCGGGATCGAGTCCCGCATCAGGCTCCTGGCATGGAGCCTGCTTCTCCCTCTGACTGTGCCTCTCTCTCTCTCTCTCTCTCTCTCTCTCTCTCTCTCTCTCTCTCTCTATCATGAATAAATAAATAAAATCTTAAAAAAAAAAAAGAAAGAGACCAGCACGAGAAAGTGTTTATTCTCATAAAATAGGATGTTATTTAAAAGGGTGGAAAATAGAGGGGGGGAAAAAGTGACCACAAAGTCCAATATGTTAAAAAAAAAAATCAGAAGAACAAAAAGAGTAGGAGAAAGAACTAAGTATTTCAAAAAAATTACAATAATCAAGAGCATGAGTTTCCAAATTAAAAAGTCTCACGGAATGTAGAAGCTAATGAATGAAAATACTCCAAACCCAATTAACAGCAGCGACAAAAGGTCTCCTAAAAAGCAGGAACCTAAATTTGTTGAGACATAACAGCAACAATGAAAATTAGAGAAACCAAGGAATGGTTCCTCCATTATTTTGAAGATAATGATTCTCAACATAAAACTGTACTTCAAGAAAACTTATTTATCACATGTAAGGATAGAATATAGATTTCTACAAATACTGAAGGTCTCAACAGAAATTTAGTTTCTGCACTCTTTTTCATTCCGAGTTTCTTAGGACTTTTTTTTTTTAGAGCAGTTTTAGGTTCTCAGTGAAGTTGAGTAGAAGGTATGGGTATTTCCCACATATCCCTACCCCACTCCATACTCACAGCTTCCCTCACTATCAAAATTCTACACCAGAGTGGTCCATTTGCTAAAATCGGTGAGCCTACACCAACATATCATTATAACTTCAACACCACAGTTTACACTTGGATTCCCTCACAGTTTTTACTTTTTTTATGAGTTGGCACAAATAAATAACAGTATATATCCATCATTTTGGTATCATAAAAAGTACATTCACTGTATTAAAAATTCTCTGCCTTCCTATTCATCCTACTTCTTGCCTCCAACCCCCGTTAACCATTGGATTTTTTCCTGCTTCCATAGTTTTGCCTTTTTCAGAAATCATTTATTTATACTCCTGTTAAGAGTATGCAGCCTGTTCAGATTGGTTTTTTTTTTTTTAACATAACATCACACATTTAAGTTTCCTCTATGTCTTTCATGTCCTCATAGATCATTTTTTTGCCCTGGATAACATTCCATTTGCTAGATATACCATAATTTACGTATCCATTCACCAAGAAATGGTGCTTCCAAGTTTTGGTAATTATGAAAAAAGCTGGTATAAAACACATGTAGGTTTTTGTGTGAAGATAAGATTTCAACTCATTTGAGTAAATATGAAGAGTGCAATTACTGTATCATATGGTATGTTTAGTTTTGTAAAAAAAACAAAACAGACCTGTCAAATGGATGTGCTATCTTGAACTCTCACTAATGAGAATTCCTGTTATTCCATATCCTCACCAGCATAGGTGTTGGCATTCTAAACTTTGGCCATTTGAATAGATGCATAGGGCTATCTCATTGCTTTAATTTGTGTTTACCTAATGACATGGGGTGTGGAGCATCTTTTTATGTGTTTATATGCCATTTTTGTGTCTTCTTTGATGAGCTACCTATTGAGGTTTTTTACCTTTTTGAGTTTTTCTCTTATTTCTGAATTTTAATAGTTTTTTTTTTTAATGTTTTGGATAAGAATCCTCCATCACATTTGTCTCTCACAGGTATATCCTCCCACCTTTTGGCTTGTCTTTCTTTTAGGATGACCTTGGCAAGGCACAACGTTTTAATTTTAATGGAGTCCAGCTTATTAATTCTTTTGTAGATCACGCCTTTGGCATTTTCTCTAAAAAAGGTATCACCATACCCAAGGTCAACTAAGTTTTCTCCTCTCTCCTAGGAGTTCTATGCTCTACATTAAGGTCTATGATCCCTTCTGAATTTTTGTAAAGGGTAAAAATTGTGTCTGGATTCATTCTTCTCATGTGAATGTTTACTTGTTGCAACACTATTTATTGAAAATACTACCTTTGTTCCATCGAATTTCCTTTGCTTTTTTGACAAAAATCTGTCATTTACATAGTTTATTTCTG